CCAGAAAAAATTGGCCTTGTCAACAATACGCAGATCTACGATAAGGGGGAGATGGCTTTTCTTTTGTTATTCTTGGGGGGGGGGCTGGGGGCGGGAGTATATTTTACATTTCCGAAACCAGCGACAGAACGAATAACAAAGACTATTATGAGAAACTGAGTAGAGATACGCATACCCCATTGTCATCAGCAGTCAGTCGTCAAGCCCAGAAAATCAACATTTTCGAATGTTGATTTTCTTAGCAGCATATCTTCACTTCAAAAGTTGACGCAACACAATTTCTCTATCCACTCACCGTATCAAAGAACTTAACGATTTGTGACAGTTTTGTCGATTTGGCAATAACAACCATGCTTTCGTTCATCTCGTGTAGTTGCATGCATTTCGCGGATGGGAGTTCGAATCCAGGTAAAAGCAAGCATTTACAACGCTGATTTTCAAAGACGACAGAACCGGTTTATTTGGAGATTGGGGTAACACAAATCTCTTACCCCTATTTCTTTGAGTTACTCTTGTGTGTCACTGTAAACGGAATGAAAACGGTTTCTGCAGTAAGTATTTTTTTTCTTTGACACGCATATACCAGAATCATAATACATCAAACCTCCGTTTGCCTTGTGAGATAATGATAGTGCCTCAGTTGGTTAATTCCACTGCGTATTGAAAGTGAAAATAGGCTCTGCAGGGCCTAGACTTTGGCAAAGTTATATGAAGACATTGCACAACCCAGAGAATCAGACCCCTGTTTTGGTCAAATCGACAAGATCCAAGAGAATAAAAGGCATTATGTCTAGGCGCTGTCTTCTTCTTCTTTGGGCTGTGTCTGTTCAAGACGTAGCCGATCATGACTCATCACAATTATCTATCCCTTGTAGCTCGTAGTAACGTTTGTGTTTTTTCATACACTTCAACTCACCGATCCGCCAGACATTCAGACAAGCTTTTAAAGTAGATGATCCGCTACCTGTTCCTGTCGCTTTTGCATTCGATATATTTTGTGGGTATCAAATTCTCCAGGTCCTCTTTCCTCTTTATGTGTTCAATGCATTTCAGCTGTCTGTAACTGATTCTGAGTACAAGTATCATTTTCATTTCCATTTCCTTTAAGACTTCCTTGTTGTTTACGATCTCTGTCCATGGCATTCGTCTGTGAAGAAATAGTCCAGAATTGATTGTCCTATAGGAGGATATGATATTCAGTAACAGTTCAGCAGTTTTCTTTATTTCTAATTATATTTTAATGTTTACTTTGCTTAGATTTTGAAAGGCATTTTTTTTTTTGCTATTCCAGTGCGCCTTTGGATTTCGGCATCACACTTTACTTCCTCTGATAAAACACTTTCTATATATGTAAACTTATGTACCTGTTTTATTTTGACATATCCAGTTTGCATCTTGGGCATTATTTTCTTAATTGCCGGATTTATATCAATGTTTACAGACATTCGACTGACACTTTGCCCTGGATATTTTGTCTGGATTAATTTCTATAGCTTCCACGCTTATATGTCAGTCATCGTGACAAGACACAAAATTTACTTAAAATGACCTTTACCCTTTGACATCGATGCGCACCAAGGAGCAATAGAAAAGTGGGGTAATAATCCACTAGGCAACTTTTCCTTCTGAAATATAAAACAGAAACAGTGTTTCATATTGACAGCAATGAATGACAACAACCCGGTTTTTTTGCTCTCTGTCGACGGACACCAATCATTTCTGTTCGGCAATGAAAAACTTCAACACAGAGAATTTTAACTTATCTATTTTTATTAATCATGTCGATATCTACATTAAATATATATCCAGTAAGGGGGGGCACCTACCCTCGCTGGGGAGCCGTTTCGAACACGAAAGAGAACACATTTACACCGCTTGACGGATAAGAAACAACTCCCAGAAAAATCTTTCTCTATTTATCATTCCCACGCTAGCTCATCCAATCAAAAACGACTTATTATGTCTTACATCTGACCTCGAAGGTCACCCTCCGGAACTCGGAGCTGAAATAGACTTCTCACTAAAAATAGTAGACTGCCAAACTATTATTTAACACCAGAGCTGATAGAAAGAGGTCGCGAGAAAAGATCAGACTTTCCTCCCTATTACAGATCCTTCTCCTGCAGTCATCATTGCAGAACTTGCCCATCGTGCATATAGATTTAGTTAACAAAATGCGGACTAGTAACAGACATGAAAAACCCTCCTGAATATACGTCCATTTTTTTCAACTCAGGAAACTATCGTAGTGATGACATTAATCTTCATTGCCTGTGATCTATCGTTAAAGATCCAGAAAATACTTGACTCCATCTACTATCCTCTATCTTTACAAGAATCAGATATAAGATTAGACCAAAAATGGAGTGATGCTCGCATATCGGGGCGGAATCTGCCCAATCCACTCCCTCCAGTTCCGACAGATTTCAATAGCGTTTACTCGGAGTGGTAGGGGTATCATTATTTCCCAACCTACAACCCCTTTCCCCAGAGACGCAACGTCGTAAGCCATTCTTTACTTTATCTCTATTTCCAAGGAAAATGTTCAGATGAGCTGCGTTCCTTAGTTACACCTTTCAGGCCTTTACACCTAGTTCTCGTCATGCAATGTATACAGGCTTTCCCATTCGTATTCTTTTGGTAATGAAGAAGTTACATTTGGATTGCAGCTTCCGAATTACCGCTGTTTTGTGGAATATCCACCCAAGATGATCATTTCCCGATCACTACACCCTTCATCTCCTAAGTCTAGATTTAACCGTTATCTTTCGTACATATTCTAATAATTTACAATACTTATGTTCATAAAACAACTGCATTCCGTAACTGTCTACGTTGAGTGGCTCTTGAGCCTTGTATTAGATGAATAATAGCGTAAAAATCATTACATGTTAGCATATCCAATAAAGTATTTCCTAATAATATTTGACAAGGATGCGCGGCCAGTCTAACAGAATTTGAACTCGGCATAAATATTTTGATTTACGCGTCGATAACAGCGGGGTCATGCACACACTCGTAAGAAGTGATATCACAGAAGGGATAAAATGTCAGAAAGGGAGTGTGGCGGGTGCCACTGAAAGTAGAAAAGATAACAGATGGAGCAAAAGGTTGCTTGTTTAGTGCCCATTTGTGTAGCAAATGCTGTAGGGCTTAAAACGAAAAAAGTGGACGTGATATGTTGGTAAGACATAGCAGATAATTGTAGAATCGCAGTTGAAGATGTTTGAATTATACGATTAGGGTGTATCACGAGTATTTTCGTTTCTTATCGTAGAGGATCTCGTAAATGTTCCTGTATGTCAATTAGAGATTATGGAATCCTGTACATATGACATCTTCCGATGAGCATTTGAAATTTTCAAGTAATATGTTTTTTTCTCTAAGTTACGTTTTAAAATATCTTAACTTATAACTCATGATGAGCCAATTCTAGTTTTCATTTCGAAGGAGAATTTACCAGTTTTCTGATGCTTAAACCAGTTTTAACTAGTATGATGCGATATATTTTTTTACCGTTCGTTCACCCAATACAGGGCCCAAAGGGACAATTAAGGTGGATGGTTACTGACTATTCTAAGGGTAATAAGATAACACTGTGCGGATTAGGAATATTTATTTGCACAATAGTACAAAATGTGGCATAAGGCTAAAATGGGGATTGGGAAAAGGGACGGTCTTCTTCTGTCTTAACTTTAAACTTAGCTAGCCACAAAACACTGACCCAAACATACAACCAATAGTCCTAATACCAAAACAACACATTCTTACCTACCTTTCTTACTACATTCACCATAATACCTCATTGTCTCTATGAAAATCCTAAATAGTCCGCATATATAAAATTCGTTAACTGTGTGGGTGGGGAATTTAACAAGAATTTAAAATATCCCCAATGAGTATGTAAAATATCCTATGCGGACTAGTAGGATAGATATTGGTTGACTCTGGACTTAAAAAGACTAAGACTGTAGTTGTCAGGGAAGCATTCTCTCAGGACAGTGTTCCATACTGTTCTAAGGAACTGATGAGAATAATCTCCTAATGGTTCCAATAGCTACAGCTACCCCAAGAAAAGTTGGTTCTCTTTGTCGCGCCAGAATGTTTTACTCGTCTGAGTCCATCCTTCACATCTACAAATCTACAATTCTTCCATGCATAGAATACTGTTGCTATATATGATCTGGTGCCCTCACTGTTCATCTCGTGGTTATCGACAAAATCCAAAATAATAATAATGAATATTTTCATGGCATCTGCTCAGACGAGCTATTTACCCTGGTGCCCCGACTGCATGAATTTAAGCGTGCTACTAAGTTAGCATCTCGGTCCCATTTTACTGTCGAAAGAGTTAAATGTAACCGCCTCTTTTATTCCAACAGCTTCTTCACTTGCACTTCCCGACAGTGGAACTCCCTTCCTCTTACTTGCTTCCCTGATAATTATAATCTTCAAAAATGTAAATGTAATGTCAATCGACATCTTCTGTTACCTTGATCCTCGTTCTTCATCCTTGTTTTTTTTTTTCTTTTCATTCTTTCCTCAACCCCACCACTACACCCAGTTTTTTTTTTTTTTTTCTCTTGCTTACACTCTCTGTAGTCCTTTACGTACTAGTGGCACTACCGGCTTGCTTGGTGTTAAATACTTTTAAAAAAATTGTAATTTTCTCTTTTTGCCATATTTGTGACATTTGGTATGGCAACATCAATAATATGACAGTTGTTGGTGCCTTCATCAAGCACAATCATATCCGAACGGCGATGTGGTATAATTCTCTCCGAAAATCATACTCCAAATATATTGTGAGCTTTCTAACATCTTGAGTTTTTCTGCATGGCGCATGCTCGTGACATTTTTTTTTCAGTTGGATGTCCTTACTTTCGACACAATAACCAATGTACATAAAAGCATACCTTAACATGCCTCTTCTAATAATCTAGCATTTTTCTCTCTCGCAAGAAAGATAGAAAAAATACTACTACTACTACTGTTGTCGCTGGCGGTTACATCACATTGAAGTCACGGTTCCTGTAAGATTACCGAAGTTAAGAAACGTAAAGCCTGGTTAGTACCTAGATGGATTACCGCTTGGGAAAACCAGGTGTTGTAGGCTTGAATGTGAGGGAGGTGCAATGGATAGTGGCTCGGAATTGTTAATCGGAGACCCGAGTTTCGATTCCCGTTTGGCTAGTTGTATTCACCTACGCGCGAATACTCTTAGGAAATGTAGGAATCCATCTCTTCTTCGGACAGCTATTGGTTAATTAATAACTGTAACACGAAACCATTATTATCAAACTCTGCCCATGCCCAAATTTACAATATAAAATATTTTCTGACGTTAAATAGCCTACAAAGAAAACTGATCAATCAATCAATCAATAATACTGTATAATTATATATATACTCTTTAGATTCGTACAAGAAATAAAGTTTGTTTTTTGATACGCCCTATATTTTAATGTTTTTTTTTTTTTATACAGTCCCAACCTTTATTACAGCTGGTTTATAGGTTGAATCTCGGGAATTGGAAAAAGGTAAACTGTTAAATAGTACTTCGCAATGAATAATGGAAATTAAACGTAGATATTTTACATTAATTTAAAAGAAATGCAAATTCCAAATAATAACTCAATTTCTAGTAAATATCCAATCTCTTTTTGTTGATCCTCTCCGTTAAATTTCCAATTTATTCTTAGTCATCGAAAATGGCGTGTCAACTATAAAATGCAAATGAAAAAGGCTGTGTTATTTATAGCAAAATATTTTTTCTCCTTTTTAAAATTACGTTATTTCCGAGTAATTGGAATAGCAACACTTTCAAGCTTATTCAGATATTAATTAGTTTTCCTCCTTACGTGGGCAGAAAATAAAATTGCAAGAACATTAAACGATAGAATATTTCTATTAAAAGAAAAAAAAAACAGTTCAAAGTATAAGTTTCCTATCGACCTATGATAATGATTCCTGCTGTTATTAAAGAAAGTAAAAAAAAAAAAAAATGAAAGTTGTTGTTCGTCTTTTTTTTCCTCCTAAAAAAACTTTAATTAAACATTTTTTCTTTTAATTTATCAACTGGAATTGGCATTTATAGCTGAAGAAAGTCATAACATTTGACATGAGTAAAAAAAAAAAAAATTAAAAATTAATAATTACAAAAATATCGCCAGCGGCAAGCTAAATTATTTCTACAAAAGAATATTCAATGATGTTTGATCGGAAAATATTGATTACGTGCTTTCGATGCGTGGAGGAGTTGAAGATTTTAATTATGAGTGACGTCTTTGTCTGCAAGCATTGTGTGTTTGCAGAAACCTTATCGAATCCAAAACCTATTTTTCCCCAGACCTTTTTTAGAAAGTGACAGATAAACGAAATTCTCAAATCATGTGTTTCATAAAATCTATATTCGAATAAGAAAATGATAAATTTCATTAAAATCATTTTATAAAAGTTATCCCCCTCTCTTTGTCTCTGTTATAAAGTCCGTATAACGCCCACATTTTCTGGGTAGTAAGACTGGGAAAAGAAAAACGAAACAAAAGGTTGGCTGAATAAAGGTTTAAGTAGAGGAAAACATGGATTGAGAAGAGGCTTTTGCAACCCATTTTTGCCACGGATTCATTAGCAGACATTTTATTCACAGCGGATGGAAGAGTCCATGTTTCAATGATAAGTGTAGAGAAGGCTAGTCTACCTTTCTAAACATCGTTCATTCAATCTTATTCTGTCTGCTTTTGACTATCTGCATTTGTCTCTGTTGTTCAATATCTATCTATCTATCTATCTATCTATCTATCTATCTATCTATCTATCTATCTATCTATCTTTGTCTGTTCATATCTATCTATCTATCTATCTATCTATCTATCTATCTATCTATCTATATATGTCTGTCTGTCTGTTTATCTATCTCCCTGTCTCTATCTATCTATCTATCTATCTATCTATCTATCTATCTATCTATCTATCTATCTATCTATCTATCTCACTGTATCTGTCTGTCTGTCTGTCTTTCTATCTATCTATCTATCTATCTATCTATCTATCTATCTATCTATCTATCTCTGTCTGTCTGTCTGTCTATCTATCTATCTATCTATCTATCTATCTATCTATCTCTGTCTGTCTGTTTATCTATCTCCCTGTCTCTGTCTATCTATCTATCTATCTATCTATCTCACTGTCTCTGTCTGTCTATCTATCTATCTATCTATCTATCTATCTATCTATCTATCTATCTATCTCTGTCTGTCTGTTTATCTATCTCCCTGTCTCTGTCTATCTATCTATCTATCTATCTATCTATCTATCTATCTATCTATCTATCTATCTATCTATCTATCTATCTCTGTCTGTCTGTTTTATCTATCTCCCTGTCTCTATCTATCTATCTATCTATCTATCTATCTATCTATCTATCTATCTATCTATCTCACTGTCTCTGTCTCTCTGTCCATCTATCTATCTATCTATCTATCTATCTATCTATCTATCTATCTATCTATCTATCTATCTCTGTCTGTCTGTTTATCTATCTCCCTGTCTCTATCTATCTATCTATCTATCTATCTATCTATCTATCTATCTATCTATCTATCTCTGTCTATCTATCTATCTATCTATCTATCTATCCATCTATCTATCTATCTATCTATCTATCTATCTCTGTCTGTCTGTTTTATCTATCTCACTGTCTCTGTCCATCTATCTATCTACCTTTCTATCTATCTATCTATCTATGTCTGTCTGTCTGTTTATCTATCTCCCTGTCTCATCTATCTATCTATCTATCTATCTATCTATCTATCTATCTATCTATATCTATGTCTGTCTGTTTATCTATCTCCCTGTCTCTATCTATCTATCTATCTATCTATCTATCTATCTATCTATCTATCTATCTATCTATCTCTGCCTGTCTATCTATCTATCTATCTATCTATCTATCTATCTATATATATATATATATATATATATATATATATATATATATATATATATCACTGTTCCTGTCTGTTTTTCTATCTATCTATCTATCTATCTATCTATCTATCTATCTATCTATCTATCTATCTATCTATCTCTCACTGCCTCTGTCTGTCTGTCTGTCTGTCTGTCTTTCTACCGCTCTATCGAATTTGAAAACATCTTGTCATTATTTATTATTTGATTCAAAATTATTTCTACTTAATATCGACTACATGTTACAAATCAAATATAAACATATAAAATATAAATATCACGATTATCTAATCTAACAAAGACCTATATTTTTATGTTCAAAAACATGTGTATACACACATACACAATAAGATATACACGTACATACATATAAACTATTTATCACGCTTTTTTGCAGGTCACATTTTTTATTATTTTTTGAATATTAAACATTGTGCATAAGTGAAATTTGGTACACTTAAAGATTAAAAGTAGGTAACTATGCAGGGAAGGTACATGCAAGGTTATGTTATGTATTTTAAAGTCTTTTTAACTGTCACACTTTATTGCAAGTGTACAAGAATGCCACTGAACCGACGTCTGAGAGTTACAAAAAAGACACAGATTGTTCAAGATCTCGCAGATGTTTCTTTTTGGGTGAATTAGCCAAAGAGCTTGGTCGAGATATAAGAGTATTGAAGTCATTTCTGGAAAACCCCATAACCAGACCAAGACAAGATAAAGGAACGAGAAGAAGTGTTTGACAGCGTGACATTCGAAGAATACGTAGATAAGTGAGAAATGACCTCGGTAGCAAAAGTGCAGCCATATTTGAAAGCGCTGGCGTTGTTCCTTTGTCTACAAGCACCCGGTGTATGATTCTTAAAGAGACGGCATGAAGTGTTAAACCCATCGCCAGAAAAAACGCGGAAAATTCGGTTAGTTTAATAATAATCTTAGACTTTTATCCTTTTCTAATTTATTGATTCGTTTCTATTACTGTCATTAAAGTAATAAGTCAAAGTGGTATATTTGATAACAAGTTGTACACTCCGGGCTAAAATATATATGATAGTTCCTTAAAGGGAGATTACTGATACTGAGACATCCTGAAGAGGGATGGAAATAGAACAATCAATGAAAAATTTATACTTTTATTCTTTTCTAATTTATTGATTCGTTTTTATTACAGTAATTCATTTTTAATTTCATTATAGTAATAAGTCAAAGTGGTGCATTTGACAACGAATTTTTCACTGCGACATCCGGAGTAAATATATATATGATAGTTTCTTGTCATGGTAGACGGCTTGCGTGCACCAGTGATCCCAAGGGCAAAGCCGTCTGGAGTTCGACTCCTATAAATTCACCCCTGGCGTTAAGATCACGGAGAAGGGATCAGACTGAACAAGAACAACCTTGGAAGACCCCAACAACGGAATAAACAAAGATTTACACGATGACAACGGCCAATATATGAAGACCAATTTTCAAGACGTTCTCTTCACGGATGGGGCCAGAGCTAAACTGGATGGACCTGATGGATGGGCAAAAGCTTGGATATCATTTGAAGACTCTCGCTCGCATCGCCTCACATTCGATGTCAACAAGGAGGTGGTGATGTTATGATTTCGATTGGCATCATAGGAAATGAACCTGTCGAACCTTTTCGAGTGCCAGAAGGTTTGAAACTCACCAGCAATTCCTACACCGCATTTCTGATCGATAATTTTTCAACATGGTTGGATGATCTGCCATTCTCACGTAGACGGCAGTTGATTTTTATGCATGACAATGCTACATCGCATTCAGCCAAGGCTACAATTTCGTACCTCCTAACTTTGGGGTTCGAAGGACAAACACTTATGAGTTAGCCTCCTTGTTCTCCTGACCTTAACCCTATCGAGCAGCTCTAGTCAATCTTTAAGAGGAAAAGTTATAAAGGAGGTGTGCAGTTTTCATCAAATTACATCCTGTGGGAAAGGATCAAAACTGTTGCCGGTACCATAAGATCTTCTCTAATTCGTCGGCTAACATCATCTGTGGACAAAAAAATGTTTCACGTAATCTATAAACATGGAAGTTACGTAGACAAATAAAGTACATCAGCAATCAAATTGTGTTTTTCCTATATATTTTGCTTTCATTGTTTAGTGACGTGCTTCAT